CATGTGATCGAAGCTGGATTCCTTTCATGTGCACATTATATGTATCGTTCAAAGCATTTATATTAAATATGAATTGGTCATATAGATGTCTATGATATAGTTACTAAATCTGTATATCTCATCCACACCACTGTGCAAATGGACCTTTCGTAGTATTGTCTGTTGCTGAAGCTTATGTCTTTCACAGCATACTTTACATATCGTTACAGTTGCGCATTGGGGTCATACTACTATCTGCCGAAGCCACTGTGCAGTTTCGAGCCCTGAACGAAATGTTTTTTGGACTGTCCACGGTACCACTGTACTCACAGCATCGCTATGACGCCAATCGAGCCTTCAGAAAACTTACTCCACCAATTGACCCAACGCTATATGAACTCCTGCCACTTCGTCTCTGCCCTATGTCCTCAGCTTCTGCAAGTTGCTCTACCCGTAGCCTACGCTTCTTTACTTTTTGAAGCAGCGTTATGCGAACGTCCCTACTACTTCTCTGTATACACCCTACTCTCATCCACCAACTAACCAAACTCTTGTAGGAACACTTTTGGGGGTTTTTTTTGCCAGTGACCCATTCCTCTCCACTATTTTACCTAATATTCCACTATCATATTCTCTCTCGTCTCCTCACTATCTGTAGCGGCCCAACTACAGCAGCGCCTGGCAGCTATCCGACAGCGCCAGGCACAAGCTCTCAATGCAACAACACCACCCACCTCCTCGGAAGCATGTAGTACCGCAAACGCACCAACTACCACAACAAAGCATAAGCCTAATTTGTCTACGTGGGACGATGCTCCTAAGGTCATTGCTAAAGCACCACGAATAGATGTGAGATTACCAACCGATACACAACCACCCAACAAGGCTGGCGGAGATAGGCAGTCACGTGCTCCGGTTCGTATACGCCCCAAAAAGAAGACGATTGTAGGCGTGAAGATATCGGGTAGGGCAAAGGCTATGGCTGGTGCTTGCAAGCTGGCTTCGAATGTACGTGTAAATGGTACCGCCTCGGCCAAGAGTGGGTGTTCATCCAATGACAAGCCTAAAGTAAAGAGGAGGCGGCAGGAGGTGGGTGCTGATACGGTTGTTGCTAGACAGACAAGGTTAAGGTCACGTTCGCGAGAGAGCGAGGTAGCACAGCACACGGCAGAGCGCGAGAGGGAACGCACTACAGAGGTGGGAAGTGGGGCAAAGCAGCGAATGACGATAGTTAGTAGTAAGGGTGTGGTAGCAGATATGGGTCCCAATTTGATACCTAACTTTCCCGGTGAGAGACTTGAAGAACGGGAGCACAATTTAATTCAGCAAGGGGTGGGTGGGGATGAGGAGTCAGCCGAGCAGGAGCGTACAACGGCTGCGACGGATAGAAACGATGGGCCTACCGATACGGTAGTCAACGAAAGTAGGCAGAACGATGGGGGAGATAGTAAGACAATGTTGAAACAGCCGCGAGTGTGTAGGCGCAGGACAGTCAAGCATGTGGCACGAACACCTCACAGCACATCCACACGCACACAGATACATCCCACACACACACGCACACAACCTACACCTAATATACAGGTAATGGGTGAGGATGGTGCCCCTGGACTGGTAAACGGGGTGTACACCCAGAAGGATAGTCAAGTGAAGATGGCTGAGGGATCAAGCAGTATTGCTACAAGCAAGCGATCCGACCTGGACAGGCGTGAACAGTGTTCTATCACTCAGAAGGGTAGAGCACAATCGCTCTATTTGCGGAATAGCCGCAAACGTCCGTTTGAGTCTGATAGTGATGAAGAAGTCGACAACGGAATAGCAGAGAATGAGTTGGATACGTGCGGTGATGGAGAGTTTATGAGCAGGTGTAGAGGTGCCTGTGGAGGCTCCAGTGGAGGGACCAGCGGAATGGGAAGCGAGTGCATTGATTTTTATAGCAAAGAAAGACAAACACACACTAAAGGAGAAGGTCTCAAAAGTAGATCAGGATCTAAAGAGCGTGGAAAACTTCGAGAGAAGAGCGGTGAAGGCGGCAGTAGTGGTAGGTATGCGATGGAGCGGGATAGTGCGGGTGGGCGTAGCAGTGATACGGAGCGCGCGAACACAGCTGAACAAAACAGCTGGCAGCTACCCTTGGCAGAAGGGAGGGAAGCAGGGTTGTTCACACAGGCGTTTGCGGCCAATGCTGGAGACGATGAGAAGGAGAATGAGAGCTCCGAGTGGGTGCAGGGCGATACACATACACGCACTGCTGGTACATCTAAATGCATTACAGGCGACAAGGAGACGGATACCGCAGCTGGTATACTTACTGCAAGTAGGAGGCATCGCAACAGATCTCCGGTGAAGCGGTATCGGCGCAAGGTTGTGGGTGTGGCGGGCGAGGTCTTGTTACAGTCTCCGTTAGCTCCAACGGCGTCTATACGTAAACACGAGCGATCGGATGTGAGTGGCGATAGTGGAGGTGTAGTTAGTGCTTTGGAGGCGAATGGGGGACGTAGAACAAACGAGGACAAGGCTTTACAACCAAATGAACTGATAATAGGGTTTGGACGAACGGGGACATCTGTGCAAACTCTCTCGAAGGCTTGTCCGTTGACTGACATAAGGCCTGTACCAGAAGCGGTGAGACAAAATCGGACAAAATTAACACCCAGAGTCCATACCAGCACAAAAATATCAACGAAGCCTCGGCCCGCTACAAAGCCCCGAAGGAAACACTCAATTTCGTTGCAAAGAGCACAATGGCAAATGCCTGTGCAACGACGGGAAAACGGATACATCTCTCAGGACAGTTCAAGCGAGGGAACGGATACCAGCACAGCCCCAGACACAAGCACGGCTATGGCTACGGCTACGACTACAGACAGTGAGATATGCAGTGCATCACAGTCTGCATCGGATTGGGAGAAAGCGACAGGGAAGCACACAAATGCACACGTGTACAAGCATAAACACACGAGGTACAACAAATCATCAGCACCCCAGACACGGAGGATCAGACGACGGAACAGCAGGAGGAACGATATCGACGGCAAGACGCGACAAAGCAGACTAACAGCACGACAGCGTAAAGCGACGGAACTAGAGCGACTGTATGCACATAGGTTTATATGGCCACCCCCACAGTACACAGACCTAGTCAAAGCGAACTTTACGCTGCCAATGGAGATGGTGGCGCGTGAATGGCCTGAGTGGCAGCAGCAGAAGAAGTTGGCGAGGCTGAGACGGGTGAGTGGAAGTGATGCGGATTCTAGTATGGGTGTGGTTGTTAGTACGAGTAAGATGCACGGCAGTGGTAGCGGTGGTCGTAATGGCGATACCATGCAATGCGGGGGTAGGCAATCACGAGCCACAGGCATACCTAAGAATATGGGGGCCCGAGTACAGGCGAATGGAAGAGATTTAAGCGAAGCCACACCTGAGAGCACGCGTAGCAGAACAACGCCAGTGGGAGTGTCCGGGGGGGGACATGCACATGCACGTTATGGTGCCAGTCATGGAGAGGCTACAGATATCGATACACAGAGTGTGAAGGGGAGCGGAGATGACAGGGGGAGTTCAAGTGATAATAACAGCGATACGGGATGTCGGAATAAGGTGTCCCCGCCGAATAGGCAATCGTTTGGTAGTGGGGAAGGGGGTCAGTTGTCTGCCTCAGAGGCAATGGAGATGGAAACGAAGATGGAATTACACAACACTGCGGAAGAACAGCGCGTGTATGCGGTCGAGTATACTTCCGAGGAGAGCGACGCACCGACTCGAACTCGTGTAGGCCGAAAAGTGGGTATACTATTGTCCCAATCTTCGCAGGCAAATGATCATTCGGGGCATTCCGTGGGTGTGAGAGAGCCCGAGACTGTCGTGCATAAGGATTCGGTCGTGCCCGATACTGCGATGGACATTAGTGATTTGGCTATATATAATAAGAGTGCAGCTCAGATGTCATCTGGCGAAAGCGATGAGCCTATGAGGGGCCATGCACACCGAAAGCGCTCCAGAACTCTGCGGAAGAGTAGCGGCAGTGCTGTGGTGAGAATGGGAGCTGCCAGCTGTAGGAGCCCTTGTGGGAACAGCCGGAGACCGAAAGGACACAGGAAGGCAAATAGAGGAAATAGTCGTGCAGAAAAGAAATACAGAAATAGAGTGGCCGCCGGCTGTGGATATGCGAGCGGTCCCGTGGAAAGCGATAGAAGTGACCTGGAGGACACGGGCATACGCGAACATCGCATGGTAGCTACGGCTTCAGATACACAGACGTTACATACGCGCAAGGGCGAGGCCGTGCACGTCCACGATAAAGGGAGTCCGAGAAAGGGTGAGTCACGGAGAGTATACAAACGAATACTGGAGGAGAGCAGCGGCTTATCTAGTGCAGCTAGTGATAGTGACGACGATGATGTTGTGGTGTACAGACGGCCATTAGTGAAGCCTGCGCTAGGTACTACAGGAGGAAAGGATGGTGTTACTAGAGCAAACGCTATGGAAGGTGAGATGCCGGGCACGGAGGATGTGGCAAATGCGGGGACGGGCAGCGGTGAGCGAGTGGTAGATACGACAGCACCTGTATTGACAGAGAGCACCGTGAGGCTAAGCGCGCTACGGTCTGTACCTAAAGTAGATGTGAATGCACGAGGTTCGGTACATGGATCGTCTGAGGACAGGTACGGGACATCGAGCTCGGAGAAAGAGAGTGACAATGACAGTGTTGTGGTGTACAGAAAATCGACAAAAGAACCCAACGTCACGTCTGAAAGTGTAGAGGATTACGTTTCTAATCATACAACTAAGCGCGATCGCACCAACAGGTCGGAGAAATGGGTTGGTGATATGGCGAATGTCTCGCTTAAATGGGACAGACCAAACCAAAACCAGAAAGTGGACAGCCCTGGTTCTAAGGTGCAAGGGCCGGAGGAGTCGCTTTCTCTCAACACCTTATCACTGACACACCCGCATTCTCCACAGCAGATAATGCCGTGTACCTCCCCTGCTCACACGCAGCAGATGCTGTCGCAAACTTGCCCGCCGGGGCCAGCAGGGCAGTATAAAAAACACACGTCGTCGCAAACCCCGCCGCAAACCTCAACTCAGCCTTCTGTGCACTCGTGGTCACTACCTGCTTCAGTGTCAGCTGCAGCTTCAGCAGCACGTTGTTCTGCTGATTCGGGCTCGCCATCGCTGCTACGTTCCATTTCCACACTCCCATTGCCGGCCAAGACTATAGCGTCCTTGAACGGTCCATGTGGCAGTGTTTCTGTATCAGACACAGATGGGGTTGGGGAAGCTACTGTAAGAACACAAAGCAGTACAAAGGGTAAGCTACTACGCTACGACTCAGAGCGGCCACAAAGGGAGCTACAGGCCAACCGTAACAGCGCAGACATGTTACAGAGCGAAGGCATACCTAGTGAGTCGGCATCTGAAATGCTCCAAGACTCCCCAACACACACACCCACGCAATCTGTCTGTGGTTCAACGAATGCATCGCTGGCACGAGAGTTGTTGGGTACGTATAATCCGTCGCGAGTGCACGGTGTTGTACTTGGCCAAGACTTGAACGAGTCCAAATCGGAATCTCCCGAATCCGTGACTCTAAAAATTGGGTATGAGATTACAAGCCCCGAATTGTCCTTGAGTAATCGCGGCAGCGACACTAAATTGGCGAATACAGGTCAGTCTGCCGAGGAGCGAACGGCGAATGTGGAGGGCTTCTCAGCTGCCAGTTTGGATGAGTCAGCAGATGGATGTAGCAAGGTTCGCAACCATGGTGCTCGCCACTGGCACGCCGATGTTGGTCAGGTGTGTGAATATTGGGGTATTCTACCCCGGAAACCGTTCGTTAGGCACTTTCGCAAGCAATTGTATGTATGCTTGATAATATACGAATTTTTGGTTGTGGATTTACGCCTTGAATATCCAAGTCTTGGTTGGCGTTATGTACCTTCCCATTCAATTGTGTGTACATCCATTTACAACTCACATGCATCGTCAAACAGGGCGCTGAGGGCATAGCAATGGACGACGAAGCCACGACAGTCATCACATGGACAGTACACTCGCTGACTATCAGTGACACACTACTCAACCGCACATGTACTATACCCATCTCTTGCATCCGGGTCAGCGCCGCGGCGGTGCTGCCACACACCTGCAGTGGCACGTACATGTACACGGCCGTAGTGGTTGGGATGTGTGAGAATGGCGGGGGTGCGCAGTTGTTTCTGTACCATATGGCGCATGCCGAAGAGCCCTGTCTCAAGAATGAGAAGTCAACGGGACAGTCACGTGCACATGCAGAAGTAGGCGGACATACGCGAGCAAGCACGACCCCAAGAACACCGGTAGAGGACGCAGTCGGACGTCAACCTGGATCAGCTGAACTCTCGGATCCGCGTGATCCAGCCAAATTTGGTAATAAACTAAAAATAGACTCTCTGCTGTTGCATAGAGCGGAAGGTGCGGATAGTGTGTGTGCGTTGGCTGTCACGGGTGAACGCAGTGTGGCGTACGCTGTGACGTGCAGAGGCGACTCCGGGGGGAGTGTGTACCATGTGGAATGGGGTAGTGAACTGAGAGGTCAGTCCGACTCAGCTGGTAGCTGCCCAACGGATGAGTTGGTCAGTAATTCTGTGTGCGCAAAGGGATTGGACACAAGGGGACGGTCTGAGACATACAAGCCACTAGGCACTGAGAAGCATGCAATGGATACAGAGTGTGGCAGTGAGGTGTGTGGTGTCACTTCGGGACCACATAGCAGCGACCAAAAGGATGTGTGCAAGGCGAGTGCGTGTAGAGATGTAATGAACGAAGAGGGGTTAAATTGTCGTGCAGATAGGGGACTAGTTAAAGAGGAGGAGTCGTCTAGGAGTGTCGGTGGAGCTACACAAGACATGATGGCAGTGAGTGTCACTGAGTTGGAGCTACCTGAGGACTGTCTGTCTGTGCACTCGCTCCGGTTGGCTGAGGTGGATGCAGCACTATGCCGATCGAAGGCCTTGTGTGCACCCACGTATGTGAGTACAGTGCACGGAATAGACCGATCGCACACGGCTGGCACTCCGAATTTGGGGACCGAGAGACCACATCCTGAACCTGAAATAATAGATATTGGTTACGGTGGACTGGAATCTGGGGGCGAAGTTCCAAACAATGGGACCGCGAAGCCCCACTATCACTATGGCACGGACATACAGAGTAGAATGGGCAGTCCAGGGGCACCAGATGGGGCGGTTGGGCGTGTGCCGGATGTGAAGGTAGGCGGAAGGGAGGCAGCAACGGAAACGACATGCACACACACAGATGATACCCAAGCAACGGAGAAGACAAACACACACACAGAGGATGCACAAGCAACACAAAAGCATGCGCGCCTAGGCACTTCTTTCCACTCGTGCGACCACGACTCAGGCGCAGTACACACCTCTGAGCTCAACGACGGTGTCTGTGATACTGCTACAGATGGCTGTGGTGGTCGTGTGCTGTGTGGGGTGGACCGCAACCACCACATAGTGTTGTGGCATCTCAGTAGTGGGTTGCGAGTGGCTGATATGCAGATTGCCGTCGCTCCCACACGCAGTGCAGAGGATGGGCGGGTGGTACCGAACTTCTATGAGTGTGTTCAGGCCTATGTACTGTCTGATAATGCGGAGGTGGGCGAGTACTGGGTGGGCATGTTGGTGGTAGACCGTACACACAGGACAGAGGCGCTGAAGATGAAGGAGCGTGCGGGAGTACACAAGACCGTGGTCAAAGATATAGCCATACATGCACACGGCATACAGACATACACACCTCATGCCCACGAGCACCTGCACGAGAATCTGGCCCAGGCACAGGAGACACGGGACAGGGGGGTTAGTTCACAGAGTATGGGGGTGGCAGACAGTCCATGCGCACCCGTTGCTAGGTTCATTAGGGTGTGTCTCAGCAGCGATGGGGTGTCGGCGGATGTGTACAGAGAGTACCACCTGCCCACCCACAGTCAGATGGAGCGGTCGAGTGCTGTACAATGTCACGCACACATACACGGTGACACCCACGCATGCGTACAGAGAGACACGGGGACACTTGTACAAACCGACGCGCAGAGCAATTTGAAGAATGAGAGACTGATGTCAAGCACGCAACAGGGTGGCGTAGATAAGCACTTTCAGACACCTTTGGCCTCATCCTCACGCCAGAGCTGCGTATATGAACGCTCACAGATACCTCTGAGCATGCACAAACACTCAGAGACAGAGTGTCCTGTGCATGGAGAGGGAGAAGCACAGACACCTCTAAGCATACACAAACACTCAGAGAAAGGGCGTCCTGTGCATGGACAGGGAGAAGCAGCGCCCTGGCTGCCTGTGCTGAGTGTGGCGCTAGACAACGGGTTCGTGTGCACGTGGGATGTGCTCGTGAATGGACACGTGTTGCAGGTGCTGCCCCCCCACTCTGCAATCCATGTACGGCCACGTGTGTGCTCACCGAGACACACGGGCACACGCATAGACGCACAGATGTATACAGAGTCGCAGACACGATTACATACACAATCACAGACTCACCAGGTGCTTACCAATGGTGTGGATATACGAGATGGATCGTTGGTTAGGGGATCGCGAGAGTACACATACGATGACAATGACAGCAAGGACAACCGAAGCAGAGTTATCGATTCAACTAACATGACAAACATCAAGACAGACGATACAAGCAGTGTCGGTATGGCTATAAAAAACCAGGGCGGAACTAAACACAGTGAAGGCAGTAGTCTGAAGGCAGCAAATACGTTCATGTACACTCCGGCCAGAACACCCAACGGACTAGTGCAAAGTATGGCCACGCTGGGCAAGCGCACTCTACACACACCTGTGAGGGCGTACAGCAACACGTCAGAGGACACGGGTGAGACACAGACTGAGCAAAGGGGACGCAGGAGCCTATCTACTACTACCGCGGGTAAGGATGCGGTGCACTCGGAGGAGTTCTCGCCGGATGTGTTTGCTAGGCCGTTTGGGGTACCGAACTTTAGTCAAACGCCCCACTCGCGCACACAAGAGCCAGTGTTCACAAACCGGCGCGCCAATACAGACAGGGAGACACCAGTTCTATTTATAGGTACCAATCAAATGGATGCAAATGTTTCTCAGCCAATGATGAACGGTCATGTAGACGCGGAGGCAGATCAAATTAGAGGGGAAAGTCCAGAACCGCAGGAAGATATCGAGGATGTTGCGGGTGTGTTTGCTATCTCCAGAGGTATGTATTACGCTGTGGTGGATACGCTAGGACGCGCAGAGCTGTATGAATTCCGCCGATCGTAGTAAGAAACGGAAAAATAAAGCAGGCATACTCCTATGTATTCTGTGTCAAAAAATTAATCAAGCAGACTTCTATATGCTATCTATGTGCGGAACAATAATTCAATGTAGCAGATTCCTATCGACTGTCTATGCGTAGTTTATGTACTGTCTATATGTGGATTATATACTGTCTTTGTGTGGTTTATATACATATACTGTCTTTGTGTGGTTTATATACTGTATGTATGTGGTTTATATACTGTCTATGTGTGGGTTTCCTACTGTCTATGTGGGGTTTATATACTGTCTGTGTGGTTTATCTACCGTCTATGTGGGGTATATATACCGTCTATGTGAGGTATATATACCGTCTATGTGGGATTTATCCACTGTCTATGTGGGTTGTATGTGAATGAGCGTTCGGCGCGACTGTCAAACAACCAAAATGGCCATTTGTAAAGCAATTTAAATTTAAATCGTTCAATTGACATGATACATTTTTGCTTAAATGTGTATCCATTGGTATACAGACCAACTTACGAGACCGTGTTTTATTTCAAGGCATTACACTTCTTCAATACCATAGTAAAATCGGCACACACACGCATATATATATATATATAATATGTATAGTCTGAAAACAATCGGTGTGCTGGACTGTGTACGTTTGCTCTCGTATGGTTTGGTCGCACAGCCTTGCTGAATACTTTCATTGGCAGTTCCTATGATGTGCTTTGGTTGTCCTCTCAGTGCAGCCCTGTGTTGTTGTGGTATTGTACTTTCGTCTCCGCTTATATTCTACGAAGTCATATTTATATATCACCGTGTGTTGTCGGAAGGAACGTCGGCGGCGTATCCAGTACCTTCTTCGGAAATTGTCCGTAGCAGTTGGTTGCCATGCGCGGTTCAATGTATATGGCTGTGTTTATATATAATTTATGCTATGGCCTCGACCCCTCGCAACGTTGCAGAGAGTCTGGTAACAGTTGATAGCAGCTTCGTACTTAACGCCAATGTCTCCAATGACACATTGGAGATGACGCTCAAGAGGTCACACAGTTCCAATGCACAGCCAGGAGAGTCTACAGCAACCGTTGCTCAGTACCAGCTTTACCTCAGGAAGATGTGTCTCACCTTACCATGCACCAGATCCACATATTCCGTAAGCTTGTGTTAGGGTAAAGCGAGTTGTCGAGTGAGCGTGGCTGGAAATGGTTACCTGGGGCATGCGTAGATGTAGGACGCCCTACCACTACGAAGTTACGTTTGTGGCGTAGAAAGCCTGTGTCTGTTGTTCGGTACCTTTGATCTGATGATTGTGCCTAGGTGTGAAGTAGTGGTGCCGTTCGTAGCCTTAGATAGTCCCTGGTTGTAGCGCTGTTAAAAAATGCGATATTTGGCGATACTGTTTGTCGCGCAGATAACCACAGTCTGTGAGAGTCGAATACTGCAATTCATTTCCCTCAACAGTGTACATGCCCCAAGGGCTTAAGCCGATCACTCACTGCACCCCGTAGCCATAGTCAGAACACTCATCGGAAATCTCCCCCATGATCTAGAGGTAAAAACTCCCGCAGGCATAAAAAACATGTACACTCTCGAGAGAACTAACTCCCCATAGGACGAGCTATAACTTCAATGGCTTAAACCCTAAACCTTCAACGGGATGGAGTCTCCAAAGTATCCCTCAGAAGGATATACTTCCTAAGAACTTGTTGATCTCGGGATAGCGTCCTGCAAGTCATTTCTCTCAATAGTGTACATGTCCCAAGGGCTTAAGCCGATCACTCACTGCACCCCGTAGCCATAGTCAGAACACCCATCGGAAGTCTCCCCCTTGATCTTGAGCTGAAAACACCCGCAGGCATACAAAACATGTACACTCTCGAGAGAACTTACTCCACATAGGACGAGCTATAACTTCAATGGCTTAAACCCTAAACATTCAATGGCTAAAACCCTAAACCTTCAACGGGATGGAGTCTCCAAAGTATCTCGTACACATGGCCCTCAGAAAGATATACTTCCTAAGAACTTGTTGACCTCGGGGATAGCGTCCTTGATGATACCGTTGAGCAACTCCGTTAACGGTTTCGCAATCACACCATCACCGTGCAGGCCCTGGGAAAACAAATGATTAATATTAAGACCCCCAGACCTCACAGAAAAGCCATTTCAGTAAACGCTGAACAGGACAACAATGATCAAAGCATTGTATTGAACCTTATGTTATTAAAGGACATGTATATAGTACAAGGCTTCTCTTTTGTCAGTGTTTCAGGAAATACAGATAGCTGCTACATGCAATGAGCATACCAACATGCACAACACTTGGCACTACATTACGCACCAGCCTGGAGGCATGCGAGTTTGAATGCGCAGATGAGAGTGTGGACGCGTGGGCATGCATACCCGTCATGAAAGAGAACCCGAGCACAAACAAGCAAATATCAAACGGGCGCAGACTTCGAGCAAGATGTACATTAACACACAGAGACACACAGGTGCCAGGCAAGACTTTCTCACACAGACACACAGGCGCCAGACATGACTTTCTCACACATCCCACAGGCAGTCACATAGATACCTCAATAAGTAGCTTAGCAAACGGATTCACTATATTGGAAAACGTGTCGTCCGTGTTGTCGTCAAAAGCGTCGAAATCAACTTTAACACGATCAAATAAGATGTCAATGTCGACGAAGGTCAAGTCCTCCAGTAGATAATACCTCTGTCCATTCTCCTCTGTGAATGAGAGCTGTGAGTGTGTGCGACGGCAGGATGAGTGCCAGCATGCGCATAAAGATATGGAGAGACGGATAGATGCACTTTATAGACCACTTATGACAAAGGAGTAGTAGAGCGTACAGATCATCCTTGTTATTCTGTGACGGAAGTGTACATGCGATTGAGTACAAGAGTGATACTTCGAAGACTGTGATGAAAATGAGAGTGCCGATATCACACAGATCAAATACGTGCTGAATTATCACTAAACACGCGGGTATCTATGTGCAAGTATATTGGAATATGTGCCTTTAAATAGGCCTCCATAGGGCATTCAGATACCCGCACACAGGCTCTGAAAAAAACGCACTTACTCTCTCATACCTGTATATCTACTGTGGCCGATGGCGCTGCGTCTACTACTGTGAAGTTACCCGTAGTTGAGACCGGGATCTTAATGCCCAGTACACTCCCACTGGCATCCGCATGAAAGTTGCCAGTCAAACTATCGACGGTGAGTTTCAGTACGCCAGTGGCGTTTATTCTGTAAATAGTTTGATAGTAAAGTAGTTTAGACACAGATGGGGGTTTAAAACACCGAGTTCAGATCCCAGCGGTAGACTCACATATGTCAGTCCCAAAACGCCTCGGTTTGCATATTTTGAGTGCGGTAAGAATATAGGGCCTGATGCTATCGCGATCGAATAATAATGCCGAGTACGATGGACTCCACAGTCTCCCAACACACTTATCGATCACTAATACATTAATAATTCATAAGTGTGTTAGACCACGTACTCGTGTCAGTGCTGTACAAACACTCACCTATCCTCCCCTGGTAGATAGTGTGCCTCAAGACACGTGGCTGAATCTGCCTTTAAGGTGCTCAGTCCATGGAGATCCTCCAATATCGCATTAGCCTCACCACTCACACATAGATTGGGTGTACAAATGTTCTTTCCGAATATTGAGATGCATTTCTGTGGAGCGCATAGCTTGTTACTAGCAGTAACGCTCAATTCATCTGTGAAAGAGATATATTGCAACGGAAAGATGAAATGAGGTCACGCTACGATTGAAATGAGATCATACTACGATTGAAATGAGATTATATTGATTGGAATGAGATTATACTATGATTGAATCAATATCAAACTAATCGCTTGCCATATGCAGTGTTACAGTTTTAGCTCCGAAATTCCCATACTGTTAAAATCCAATGGATCCAGATGGTTGTCGGAAAGTCCGAATAAACTCAGATTTTGCGTCGTAAACAGACCAGTAGCGGTCAGCAAATTGTTCGCCAGTGTAACGTATGTCTTGATAATTTCGTTTGCAGGGTCGCAAGAGGCCTGCGAAAGTAAAGTAGTAGTTGTTATACGTAAGTTGGTATCTAGACTTGAATGGTTTAAAGAAGAGCCAAATACTATTATGCGAACATAAGAGCAAGCAGTCTATATATAGATGGTCCTTCTTCAAGCACAATTTAGTGCCAGCAATTCTTCTTACCTCTTCGAGTGGAAGATCAGAGGTAGTATTCACGTCTATACCATTCTCAATTTCGTTTGTAATGATTATATTCTCAGTCACAAAAGGAGATTCAATCACTACCGTTCGTGACATAGGCGTGTATGATGTAGGCACGCTTGCTGCTTCAGACAGCATGTACAAAGCTCCGGTCAGTGCGATTTTGTATAGCGTGTTTCTCATTGTGATTTTTGAAATAATGTGAAAGTATCGTATTACAGTATTGTTTGAAACTGTGATGAGAAGCGAAATTGTATATTCATTATATTTTCAAACTTTTTACACAGTACATATATAATTTATAATACTTTATAGAATGTGTCAAGGATGTTTCTCTTCCATGGCACATTCAAATGATTTGTGCAGGGTAGTCACCATGAACCTCTCGTATGTAGATCCACCAATGTGAGAACGTCTCTTTATAAATTATACAAAGTAAATGAAATGTGAGAACTGAGGACAGTGAGGAGTGAATACTGAGGATGAGGACCCGACTCCCGAGGGGCAGTGAGGGTTAATGTCGATTCTCACTGTCTCAGCTTGTTTTTTCTTAAAAAACAAAACAAAACAAATACATACTGGATCTAACGTCAAAAGTTTTACGTTAAACCGATTATAATTTGAAAAAATAACGGTTAACGTTCAACTTTTATATCGGATATACAACAACCGATATTGTTTAGGTGCAGTTTTCTAGGCCATATATTATGTCCTAAAATTGCGCAAATATATATACATGTCTGTTTTAGTATAATAAAGGTGCAGTTCTGAAGTGCAAAATCCATGATTTCGACTAAAAATTATTTATATATTGGAAAAAAAACGGTTAACGTTCAACTTATATGCACTCTACGTATAACTTATTGACGTTAGTCTGGGTTGGTAAATAACCACGCCGACATTTGGGCGAACGACATGTTATACATGTCGCGGCGACATTTTGTGGGATATGTCAGGCGCGATATGGAGTCGGCAGGTCTGCTGGTGGCTATATCGTAGCCTACATACACATACCGAGACGACATGTCATACATGTTGCGACGTCATTTTCTCAGGGGTGTATGTCGTTGTCCTATACCAACCCAGAATACATAGTTCTGAACTTCTGTCTCAAATCTCAACTCTCAAGTCTGAAGTCTCAAGAGAAGTCTCAAGTTTCAACTCACGGGCATTGAGTCATTGACTCATTGAGATATGAGCGCCTCCGCCCTCTACTACAGTCGACAGCCCACACTCTACAGTCTTCAGTCTACTGGGCTCTGAGCCTCTTGACTCCTGAGTCCTGAGTTTGGAGTCAGGCTGGGCACTAGGGAGTAGGGGCCGGGGGCCCGAGGGCAGACCGCATACCGTTATACGTTGCAACGTTTAAAACCATTGCATAAGCGTAAAACGGTCAACTATATGATGCGTTACACAATCCCAAAATTCATATGAGGGGATATTTCTGGGTCATAGTATTTGACCGACATGCCCGGGCCCGCGGTCCACGGCCCCGCCGCCCCGCCCTCATTTTCTTGTCGGTTACGGATATAAACGCCCGTCAGGCCTCGTATGGGCAATACTAGTGTCATTCTTTCTTGTTTTAGCACACAAACATAGTCAATAGTATGACTTTGGGGTCGTTTGTGTGAAGTTGTGTGTTTACTGTGTTACTGTTGTGTGTTACTGTGTGTATAATTGTATATATACCTGCAACGGATTTCTAACAAGTACACTTTCCATAGCAAGTATATCTTACATAAACACGCTAGTATGCCTAAGCCTCTATGCCTCTATGCGTTGAAAGAAGTGTACATTTATTCATTTTTCAGTACGATGCAAAGACATACAGTGTACACACAGGTCACTACTCACTCTACTAGAGAGAGACTTACAGTCTACAGACCGACCAGTTCTAGTACAAAAAGTGTCACAAACCGTCGTGGTGAGCGGCCTAAAAACAACAACGGTCACCAGTTTTCAGTCGCGGTTGATTGGTTGAACGCAAGCTTTTTGGCCAGAAATTACATGTTAGGTGCACTATCTGGGTCTCATTTGTGAAATAATTTGAGGTCAGAATAATCACCTCTATGCGTTGCAATGTTTTGTAATCATTGCGTATGCATAAAACGTTCAACGTTTAGATCAACAAGTACTAATTAATGAAGTCTGCCCGGGGGGATGGCACATATCAGACTTTGGCAGTACAGTATATAACTAGTAGAGCTATTAAAAAGTGGCTGAGAGTGTTTTGGGGGTTTAGGGTTTTAGCTAAAAAAATTTACATTCATAGTGAGTCACTGAGTGCTGAGACTTGAGAGTCTGGGGACTGAGAGGGACTTGTTTTATTATAAAAAAACAATCGAGTGATGAGTGAAGAGTACTCTGACTCCTAAATTTGTCAAGTGGATAAGCTGTAATAAAGTAGATATGATTGGTAATTGTGCGGTTGCCTTTTGAAGTTTTGAAGCATTAGCTTCCCATCAGCTAATCGAATCGCATCATAAAAATGTTCAATTACATACATGACTCATCACTTATTGTTTTACGGTTTAGGGGTTTAGTCCTTTAGACCATGATGAATCATGAATGTGAACACGGCTTGTGATTTTATTTTATATGACTCCTTTTACGAGTTTTGCCGCTTTGCCACAACGAACTTCATACAGTTCACAATTTAACAGTTATAAATAAAATGAGTCACAACTTTCACTGTAAAGGGTTGGCTCGGTTCCTGGTTTCAGGAGGCCAGGACTCCTTAGCGAGTCAGCATATTGCACATAAAATTATAAACGAGTCACTTTCAGATTTCAGAGGTCAGATGTGAGATGACAGGAGAGTACACTGAGTGTACAGGCCACTTCGAGTCTTCAACTGTCGTTTTAAAACTTTTGTTGGAGAGATCTGTCATCAACCCGAACACTCTTTGGTCTTTTATATTTATGAGCCTATATATAAACAGGCGGGGACGCTGGGGAACCAGGGATCGGTCTCGGAGTGTACTTTTTAAACTGATACTAGTTTCAGACTTCAGATAGGATGCCGTCGTTCCCGTGCCGAAGCATGGATGTGTGACAGACACAATGTGCTTAAATAGTTGTTAGACTTTCGCACTGGAGTGAAGACTACAGTGCTCGCCTTTTCTTAATTCTCAGCCGCGAGTCTCTGAGGCGATTTGCGCTTTCAACTACAATGCATATGTAACTGTGCCTCCCGCGTTATGATGCAAATACGATGGGATATCTTATCAATACTTTTAGTATGTTTCGATGTGATAAGTAGCGACATATCTCGTCTACAGACGTTGTACGATAATTTCGATGTAGATATGCTCTTTTTAAATCGTCGAAGAACAGAATCTAACCTTAGAACAGCCTTGCAACACCGTCTAATGTTATGGAATATAAACTGAATTGCTTACTGATACGGCCTGAAGTGAGATGTCAATTTTAACTTTACTTCAGTTGGTGACTTGATATGATTGAGGAATCGCATTATATGATTTTCTTAGTATCATATTTTGTTATAAACGCGATCTCGTTCCTAACAGCCACTATAACAAAGCAGAACAGTAATCGGTAGGGATTGAGTGCACTTATTCTCGACGCAATAGTTTTAAACGAACGAAATTCTTGCATATTTTTGTACAACGAGGCTCACGTCTCATATAAAAAGTAATAACTCATAGAACAAACAGCGACCATGTAAACATGTAGCACGGGATAAGAGTGATCTGATGTGTTTGTATTTTTATAAATTGATGTCACTTCTTCCGATATCATTTCTATGCAGTAAGCGATCCATTGCCTTAAAATTAACATTAGAAGGCTATATTAGAGACCTAAGAACAATTTCTAGGGTTTGCCATTTTGTTTAATAAAAAATAAAAAACAAAAATTTGAAGAGTGCTGTACATATAGATATATATATATATATATTTACAATACGTGATGAGATCTATGATTACAGCAGGGTTGCACCTTGCATTATACTCGCATACAAATACACTCGCACACACGCTCATATGCATATTGCATGTGTACGCACACACATACATATACATATAATTATACACACATATATATATATACATGTCACAGCCTCCGCCTGAAAGTTACGGTCCTGGGGTGCCGTCCCGGCCCCCTCCACCGAGAAGACCTCCAGCACACCCTACTACATACACGAGTGAACCAAGTGCACCTACAGCCCCACCTATAGATGTACAGGATGCATTTGAGCAGAGACATGTGCATATGGATAATCATACGGAGCCTATGAATACATACAAAGACACACAGGCTCAAACACAGGCTCAGATATACCAGCAGTCGTATCCGCATGCGCATGAAGGGTCGTCAAGTACATACCCCACACAACAGGATATGATGGATGCTATACCGTATAACCAGGCTATGAACAATACCGATACAAAGAAATCAGCTCCTAGTAATGTTTCGGCATACACCGCTGCCTCAGCACAATCACCGTACGCTCCAACAGCAACACAAGTATGTGGATGTTTATATAGTTGCTTGCTAATGATTATAGTTGTACTATGATAGGTTGCCATTTAAAGGGCACACACGATGGCGCATATAGACAGAACGCAATTTTTAGACATGATCGCATGATCTGTGTTGATAGTTGCGTAAATAATGTATATATATATATATATATATATGTGTGTGTATATATATAT